ACGGCGCTAGTCCTTCCTTGCCTGAACCGCTACTGTAATCTCGTATTGGGCTGTAATAGTTTACCCGGGTCCTCCACTTCGTAATCCCAAAACAACATTTCTTGTAGGTCAAGGAAATTGGGTTTCTTTTCTCCAACTCTCCAATTCTCTCATAATGAATGTGGCCCTGGAGTTCTTTCGTTATCCAAAAAGAGGAAATTGACCCATGCCGTTACCTAGTACCGTTCATGTGGGCTTGGAGATGGCGTGGCTTGCAATATCTTCTATTTCATCTCCTAGGTGTTCGCTCTCCCTATCCCACCTCTACTCAACAGCGGTACGTTGCTCTTCAACACTTTCTAGGACTGGACTACGAGCCGGATTGTGAGCCATTGATTGCAATAAGTACATGAAGTGTAGACCAAGAGGTGCCAACCCCAAAAATCCAACAATACTCCCGATTCGCATTATGATCCAAGAAATGTAGACTGTTGAAGCACAAGAACTGAAGGCCCGGTGAGTGACTTGGTAACGGCAGGAATCACTTGCCGCATTTCTGTGACATGAAGCTCGTTCGATTAGGTACGAAAGTCAGCGGTGCAGGGATGGAACGCTTATCCCCAAGGACGTTCCACAGCTGGTCAGCCTAGACTGGAAATGTATGGTCTGTTGGTATCTAGCCACTATCTATCGACCCTAGAGGAGAGAAACTGATCCGGGAAGACTTACATGAGTACTTGTGTATAGGAAAATCGCACAAGTAGATGACTACCCACACAGTTTTAATTCAATAATGGAAGGCTTGGGGAAAGGATGAACACTACACATGGCCGTCCCATCAGCAAAAGTAATGTTGAATACAATTGGCCAAGTGTATAGTGCAGACGAGAGGCGGATTGTTCTAGATGAGTGTGCTACGGATAGCACACTCACTTCTGCTGTTAGGGTTAGAGGTTGGTGGCTACTGCAATGTTATTCCATCGCCATGGACGCTGCATAGTGCCTGTGCCTCTAACTCCCTGGCAGAGCGCACAAATGTTATATTAAGCATCCAAAAACGCAAGATATCGAATTTGCCAAGCGAAATACTCTGCACAGCGCCTTCGCGACCTGCCACATTACAACCACAGAGCGCAGCGCCCCATGTGATAGATGGAGGCATTGAACAAGTTGAGTCGTGTCCCTCTTCGGAGCTTGGTCAAGGCGACCACAAGAGCGAAAAGACTGTGGGAACAGAGTGACCATCCCTGTCTCCAAATAATAATGAAAGTCCTTTGATTAACTGGTGCGTACTGCTTTGCAACTGAGTGCAGCTTACTAGTAGAACTTACCCCACGCTGCGGTGCAGGCTGTCGGGCGATCAATGGTAAGTCAATCAAGACGGTATAACAAGTGCATACACAGTTACAGCTAGTATATGTATTATTGGCAGATGCCGGGAAGGTGGGATGAGTTCCCTGGGAACGGAGCGGTAATCTATACACTTGCGGTGCATCCTGCCCACCACCTGCACCAGCTTGGTTGCTTGCTTAGCTGTCCGCCCGACCGTTCGAGGTCAGCTCAGACCTTCCGACAACGGCCAAGCTGGGCGCCTTTCCCTATTCATCCCGGAATCCCTCCCCCCTCCCTCTCCCTCCTCTCTCGGGCCACGTTTCCCACTGGCCCCCCCCCCCCGGCTGCCTCCAGGCTCTTCGAGCCTTACCCCGATTTCGGAGGCTTCGGCCTCTGTAACTATTTACCTATGAGACTGTCTAGCCCCTTTGGGTATTTCTCTAGCTCATTCTTTCAAGTCATCCCGGGGCCCCTATTGGAACTTACCACTTATCAACTAATCTCTAATTTCCTACTCGACCTTCATTTACAGGTTGAACATCCCATTCAGATCCTTTTCACAACTTTCTCTCTGCTGTATTCCAGGAGCGCCTATGTAGCTATCATTACTATTCTTGTCTATTTTCCGGGGAATATCCACCCTGACAGCTCCCTTCCCCTCTGTTTCGCTGCCGAGGGGCCGAGTCAACGCCTTCCCCGTGGGATCGAAGCATTCCATGCCCGGGATTGGGGTGCGCACTGTATAGTAACGTAGTAGGGTGCACAAGTAGGCCCGGAGACAACTCCAATTAGCCGTTGAATGGCCCCCGACCAATAAACGCCGCCTCATCTTGCATACACCATCCCCGGAAATACGAGCGGTTCACATGGCCGGACAATCTACAGTAGCAGCTGTCTGCCCACTGCCCACGGATGATTTGCAGAAGTACAGTGCTGCTCCGTACTTTAGCAGACTATTATTACCTTCGCCTGCAACCTATCAATTGCCCACTCACGACTTCGGAATTTCAATTTCACAACGCAGAGATAGGATGTTTAGTTCCGAATCCCAAGACCGATAAGCATAGCCGACATCAATAAATGTAATGCAAATTGTCATACACAGATCTATCAATCTAGCCATCTCAATATCCCTTCATGTTGTATGGAGCATAAATCCTGAGAGGGCATGTGCATGCGAGTTTGCGATCCCCAGATCATACCTACTGCGTAACAACTGCTAAAAATGTGTGGCCTGTGGCTACGACTCAATCTCCCAACCCCGAGACCTTTCTCTCGGACGAGCTGTTAAACGATAAGGCGGCACCAGCAACCCCCCCTCTTATCGCCGATCGAGTACAAACCCTCCATTTCGGCCGATTCGAAGTCGAGACGGAACAGGCAATCAAATCCTCAGCTGCAGCGATCATGCCCATGGCCAACATCCACCACCATTAGTCATTTCATGGCACCTCACTAACTCTCGGGGAATCTGCACTCTCAGGGTTGAGGAAGGATGGAGATGGGCCTGAACTGGTTTCCCTCGGTATGAAGGGCGTCTCCAATACAACTCGGAATACAACGCGGCAGTGTAGGAATAATCAAGAATCACACACAACAAAGCGGTTGTTGTGTAAGTCACTCAGCCGGGACGCGCAACCTGCCCAGTGCCCACACACACACACACCAGAGGATGTTTTCAGTGCATGAGGGATGGTCGGGATGGGCATCACATGACCGAGCGGAGATGCCAATGTTTCCGTCTCCCGAATTCTCCCGGAGCATGTCTGCTCAGGCTTGACCGGTTTAGGTTCACCGGATGTGATCTTGTCGAAGGAGCGGAAGACTGCAACCCTTCGGGACTTTTAGGAGTCGATGACGGTAACGGCCGCAAACAAGTACTGGTTCTGACGGAGAACTGTACAGTACAGTACACTAAGGTACAGTACTTACTGACAGAACTTACAGACAGCGGCTTTCAATCTTCTTCCCTACAGCTGCTCCGGGGGAGAGTGCAGGGCCGCAGGCAGAAGTCGTTCCTCCGTCCAGGCTCCTTCGGCTGATGATTTGTCCTCCTCCGACTGGATGAAGTTCAATGGCTCATCTTGCAGAGGTGGTTTGTCCTGCCACTGCAGCACCCGTTACAGGCTACTGCACCTCGGTAGACAGAATGTGGAAGGACTGGTGGTGGAGCAGACTGCTCCGCGCAAATGGTCTGATTCTCACATCCCTAAGTTACTTGTAGTCGGTCTACACTACATAGTTACTTGGTACGCACAGTCTCTCTACACCGAGTCTCTCTCTCCCGCTCGGGTCGAACGACAGTTGAAGGAATGTTTGCTTTGACTATACAGCTCATCAACTACCCCACCATCCTGGAATTGCTCATGAGTGAGTGAGAAGACTGACCTTCACCTGGCCTCCACCCGAATATACAAGATTACAAGAACAGTTTCACAAATACTTGCTCGTACGATGGGCTTGAGCAATTTCATAGAATTTATGTAAACATATATAGTGCAGACATTGCAGCTTTCGTAGATACAGGAGATCGCCATCGCCATTGTCCCTTGAGCTGCAGACGAAGGAATCGCTACTTGCGCGGATCTCACTTTAAGTAATGGACATTGATCACGAGGGCGTTACTGGAAGTGACTATTAAATCTTGTGTACATTTAGCACATACTTGGCTCTTGTAGTTCGAAGCTATTGGCTGTGGAGGTACAATGCTGTACCTACCTGGTGTCTGGTAATCCGGAAGCATCAAATAGTTGCTTCATAGTTACCGACCTAGTCTGTGCAGAGTACGTGTAATGAATTGACAAGATAGGCCGAGAAAATCTATTGAATCAATTGTATAGTCCCAGTTCTGTGCCATTATAGGCCATTGTTTAGAATGTCGGAATACAGTGGCAGACTCGAACAGGTAAGCTTCCGTCGGGGAAGGTCCTTCCCCGCACGCGGAGACTCACTCCTCTTCCGCCATTGATTGTTTTTTTCTCGGTTTCCCCTTGCACCTTGTCACTCATTAGCATCCACATACACAGCACGGAAACAAGTCGCGCAACAAGGCAATTTCGCACCCTGTCGCAGATAGTGCGCCTTCTGTCTAGCCTCAAGACTACAGCGAAGCACACCTAGCTGCGCCATTATTCCGGCCAGCCAACACAGCAACACACATATCCACCTGAACGGCGTGGCTGGATTCAAACAAACTGCAATGCTCTCTCTTCCCCTCATTACCCCCCGCGATGTACGCCATCTCTGCCTAGATAGATGACTTTCAAAGGCCAGCCGATTTCATGCAATTTCTCGTCTCTAACATACCATCTTAGTCCCATGAGCTTTGGTTCGGTTCGTCTCAACCTTACCGCTTCTCATCCTCCACGTCCGCGACACCTAATCACTCCCACCACCACCATAACCCGGGAGAACCCCACGGCCCCAATCGCCGCAATGGCAGCAACCACCCCAACACCGGACGCGGCCTCTCTGCCTCCTCTGGAAACATGCTCTCATCCCTTCTTCTCGAGGAACGAGCCCTCCGCGCCCGCAAGAACAACATCGCCTCGTTCGGATACTCGTGGATCAAACCGGCCGGTTGTCCAAAGACGATGCTGGGGATGAAAGAGGAGGAAGCGGAACGCGAGGAGGCTCTGGCGGCCGCGGCCGCGGAGATGGCAGCTGCGGCTGCCGCCGCCGAGGCGGGCATGGATGACTTTGGGGGCCAGACGCAGGATACAATGGACGGAGATGGGATGCAGGACGATACGGGGATGGAAAGAGACTTGGATGACGATATCCCTGACGCTGATGCAGACGGTCTAGTCGAGGAAGGGGAAGAAGGTCTGGAGGAGGAAGGTGTTGTGGACGAGGATGAGGAGGGATACATGGAACGCGATCTGGATGATGACATTCCTGAGGCCTTTTCTGGCTACGAAGACGACGATGAGGAAGATCTGGACGAAGGGAACGAGGGTTTCGACGACCAACCAGACCTGGACGCTGACATCCCGAGTGCGGCGGAGGAAGGTTACGATGATGATGATGATGACGATATGAGCATAAACGGAGCCATGGGCCGTGATCTGAACGATGACATTCCCGAGGCTGATAACGATCATTATGCACAGGGAGAGGAAGAGGAATGGCAACATACGGATACCGACGCCGAATTTGACGATGAAGAGGATGTCAGCTTCGCGCAGGATCCCTTTACGCAAAGTCTTCGCGCGAGTACGAGCAGTCGTGGTGGCTTGCCCCCGGTGCCAATGCGACGAGAGCGAGAGACAGAGGCCCAGCGAAGGTTCTTGCAGCGTTGGAGTGGTGGCGGGGATGCGTTTGACACCAGCAGCATGCTTGTAGACGAAGAAGATCTACGAGCGTCGATAGCCAGCCAGGCCAGTCGGAGGAGTGTATTCAGCCGGTTTCCTCGTCGTCGAATGGGAGGCCCCAGAGACAGCCTCGAATAAAGTTCTACCTCTGCATTGTTGCAGTCTGGTGTGTGAGTGTATCAACATGTGCGGTGTGTATGAAGGTCGTTTTCCTTTCTCCTGGTGGAGGGTGGAAACCATGGCAGTCAATCTGGCTCAAAACGGGGAATGAGTAGGTCAAGTATGTACTAGTAGATTGTAGAAGAGCTAGGCGCATGATCGAGATTACTGTTTCCAGACGGTATATATGGTTATCAGTTGCTATAGAGATACCCATTCCATATCAAACTATCAGATTTTAGGGCAGGAAATTCCACCGTCAACAATACTCTAAAAATTCAGGTGCTTTCTTGCATGAACCGTGTTGCATGAGGAGGTGTGATTCCCCTGTGCAGCTGCTCAGTGGAAAGTGAGTGGCCAGGGCTACCCCGAAGTGCCAACAAGCTCAATCCTTGTGCTATAAAGATGAGAAGATAGCCAGCTAGGCGCAGTGATAACCATACCCCTATGCATAAATTATATACACATCTCATTATACACCAATAACCACAAGCATCGAGGTTTCACTCGCTCGTTACATTGAAGGCCATAAGCGGCCTAGAGACAAAACTCCGGATATGCACTGTCATAGCGAAAAAAAGAAGCTTGACAGAAGAACGAGGCAGCAAGAATCATTATACATTTGCCATAGGAAGCAAGTGCCAAGGTCTGCAGGTAGACAATTATTTGCAGTGCTATCCAAATGGCCAGTCTTCTAATCGAGAACGCCGTGGTGCACGAATCATGTTGGCCGGGAACAGAAGATAATTAGGTAGTATAAGGTAAGCGCATCGGCCAAACACAGGGGGCGTCGAATGAAGCGCATGCTGAGCAAGAACAAGAGTTCTTAGCACAAGCGGAGATACCGCACTTGGGTTCTGATGTTCGGGGGAGATGTTTGGAGCGAGTGGTTCTGAGAAGCGTGCCTGCGCCCGTCGACTAGGTTATCCACACATACGCGAATAGCAAAAAGACAGCCAGGAAGAAGGCCAGCCAGACTCGCCAGCCGACACCGGTGCGCTCCGCCATCCGCAGCATACGGGTCATGTTACCGCGGAGACGCACTCTAGTGTTCTCGAAAGTGTTGTTGAGGTCGGAAATCGCCGACGTATCCCGGATCTCATCGCCGATGGCGACGGTAAGCTGGAAGCGAGCAATTAGTGTCACCTGCCTGGATCAAATTGCCTGCATCCTTACATCTTTCAACATCTTGACCTTTGCACTAATTCCTTCCACCTCTGCATCGTTCTGCGACTCCAAATGGTCGAGAACAGCATCCGAGTAATGGCCTCTACAAGCCGGAAGATGTAAGCAAGTTGCACACTCGATCCCTTCAAAATGCCCGTCTTTTGTTTGGACTGCGAACAACTCACTTCTTGTTCGGAGTTGCTGTCCTGTAACCTCCTGTAGATCCGCCAGTCCCCAAGCCCTCGCCAGCCGGTGGAGTGTAGCCTCCGTATCCGTATCCTCCTATGCGGCCAGGAGACCGACTGGCCGGCCGAGAATCGCCGCCATAAGAGTCGAAAAGGGAAGACGAGGAGCGGGGATCGCGTTGATGAAGAGTTGAACGTGGGAATCTAGTGACGCACGATCAGTTCCATTACTACCACTAATGCGGATGAAGATGACATGGTCATACCGTGAGGCCATAACGAGTCGTTTCGTAGTCGTGGGCGGGTGAGGTCGATAAAGGGAATTATTTCAACAGCTCATGTCATTTAGCTGGCAAGCATTTTCGATAAGTATGGGACGCTCTCGACCAGTGCCAGCCTGTCTGGATGGCTAGGGAGCTGACGGGTCTGTCATGCGATGGTGTATTGCAAGTCGGTTGCGGCGATCGACTCGGCGAAACACGCTGGCTGCTTGCCGGGCCTCTCTGCTCGGGCGGAGATGCCTCCGGCACGTGAGCCAGCTTACAGGGTCTACGCCACCTATGTTCAACGTAACTGAACAGCTCCTGCTGTTGATCCTTGAATATGCGATTGGCATATGATTTCATGTCATTGCTGCAATCAATGCAATTATCCTCTCACTATTCGACCGGACCGTAGTCTATGCTAAAACAATCGCGAGGCGAGATCTGTAAACTCATGTTGGCTCCGATGAAGTGTGCATACACATAAATAGCAAAGATCTCTGCGCGGACAGACACAGAAACATTTGTAGAATATTCTTTTATCCCAAGCCAGGAAAAAGCCAGCATTGATTAAGTATCAAAACAAACCCCGACGTTAACGAATCCGATGAAGACCCCCAAAATCCTGCCTGCGCCTGTCAACCAATTGCCCGTTCACACTCGCCGCCCCTATGTTAATGGTGGTATGATAGTCTTGTCCGAGTCATTAAAAGATCGTGCACTTCAGCCGCGCATGGCGGTATCCTCATCATCTTCTCCACCCTCATAATCCTCATCGTCTTCCTCCTCGTCGTCGTCCATCATGTTATCGGCCTTTAGCTTCTCAGCTGCCGCCTGATAATCAACGATCTTGCCGCGAGTACGACGGCCACCCGAGATGATGTTGTCTTCAGATATGGGCTCGAGGTTATCGCCGTCATCATCATTATCTGCCGAAAAGGTTAAAGAGTTAGCCTGGCACTAATTGTAGTGGTGTGGCTCATTGCATAGCATACCGTCTTCAGCCTGTGTACCATCGCGAGAAAGTTGGTTAGTTTCACAAGTCAGATAACGTTTCCAAGATGGGGATTGTCGTACCATCTCCTCGTTCTCGCTCTCATCGCTATCCTCCTCCTCTAGGTTTTCGTCGTGGGTAGGCTCGGTAGCCCGGCCCTTGCCCTTGTCCAGAGCAGCGGCATCGGGGGCGTTGGCGGCGCGGTCGAGGCCGGGAGTAGTGGCCTGGTTGCTGTCACCCATGATGAAAAGTTCTCGGTTCCAGGGAGAAGGTCGAAGATGGACTAGGTTGTATGAGTGCGCAAAGGTAATGAAGAAAGAAAGGAGTTACAGAAGGATGATCCAAAGCAGAGATTTTAGGGATGTGGTGCAGGCGCAAGGGAGATTCAGCTCAACCGTCCCCAGAGCGGTGGTTGCCCAGGGCGGCACACCTGCGGCTCCCGTGACTGAGGACTGAGGATTGAGGCGCCCACCACCTTCTGCATGACAAACATTTTACCTAACTGAACCCCTAGGCTAGCGGAATTACCCTTCAACATACATGAATCCTCTGGAGACTTCACTATACCTTAGTCTTCTTTTCTATTCTCAAGTTTAGTCAAGATAGATGTGCCATGCCTTGCTACACTTCGACTTTTGCTCTTGAGGTAGCTCCAGGTCATAGAAAACAGGTGTAAAATCAATAATGTAACATACCTCTTTCAGCCGATCAACCATCATGTTTTTCATTTGTCCAACGCCTCGTCTCTTCTGCTTCCCCTTGCTGCTATTCATATAGCCTCCTCCAAGTAGATATCTTTCTACTAACTTAAGGCTTTTATCCACATTTCCACTCCACGGCTCCCAAAATGATAAGAAAAACAAAAGTAATAAAACGAAAGAATAAAAGTAGTTTGCATCCAGGTGCTTTCACTAAATCAAGAGCAAGAAGAAATGTTTCATCATAGACGTTGGACGGCTGGCAAGCACCCATGCACAATTCAGAGATCGACCTTGTTGCTTCAACCAATGGTCCATGATGGATTGACATGACTCACAAACAAGCTTCGCAGATGGGTAAGACGAGCGAAGAATGCCCGTTACACTCTCAAAACGCTCCCTCATGACCTTGATAGGCTCAGTCTCCCCACTGAAATTATTAGATTTTTGCCTGTCATGGTCCTGCCAGCAGACCTCAACACTAGCCGAGCCAAGTCTTGCCGACATCTCATGATCAAATAGCTGCATATGAATGACAACAGCATATCCTAAGGTAGTCTCTGGGTACAGGAGAGGCTCAGGCACTTGTATTTATAATCAAAGCGCCAATAGCACAGAGATAGAGCCTGCAAATTCTCGATCTGCTTCGGAGTATGCCAATAGGTCTACTATTCGTGGGGGCGGGGGGTTGAGTGAAGGTTTTGGACAGATTGACCCGTGCGCGGCGCTCTTCTTCCGAGCTTGAAGATGGTGGCACCATTGAGGGCCCCTGAAGCGAAAGGATTCAATCCCTTAACATGTATTTATAGTAGACCGGTAAGGCTACTCTTGGAAAGGGCGAATAGCTTCGCAAATCTGATTGAGGTGTGCCTCAAGCTGAGCACAACATTTGCAGTCTCTGTTCAGCAATGCAACAGATAGCACATCCGAGCATTACCAGCGAAGACACCTGACAGAAGGTAAAAACATCATTGGCTTTTGCAGCCTGGCTGTATGACCAATGAGTCTTCAATCTGGTTCTATGCTGAGAAAGCATTAAATGATTACTTTTAAATTTTCTCTGGTTTGGAAGTACTTACCTGAATATCTGATCCAGTTATGGAACGCTTCCATCGGACTCGCATGTTTGATTCCAATAGGCGCAGATTTTGCAGACTTGGGCCTTTGTCAGAACACGGCGAATCAATAAGACAATGCGTGACGGATCGATAAGAAAAGGCACCGAGTTGGGAATTACCTCCAAGCTGCACATCTGCAGCGCAGACATGCCTTACTCATGCCATCTAATGCCGGTGTTTAGTTCGGCTAAGCTTCGCAGATGTCAGGACAAAAGAACGACAAATATGTGGAGGCTGAAAGACATAAGCGAGATACAGAGACAAGTTGGCAAAGCCGCAACAGCCGAGCTTCCAGCATTACCGAAATCAAGCGGGATGCTTGATATATGAACTCGGAACCCGAACGTTAACTTGGGCCAAGATTCACAAGCTATATAGATTGTGGAGCAGAGGTAATCCCCCGAGCCCCTTCTGAACCAGAGATAACCAATCGGTCCCAAAGGAGATACACACGCATAGCTCTGACCGATGGTAGGATGTGTTGTGTACTGGTAAAATAATCTTTCTTCTCCGAGCAAATGCTCCTGGTGAAGCCTACTATGATTGCCATGGTCTGCTGGAGATGTCCTCGCTGCGTTCGACGTATTTCTTACAAATATGGCAGAAATACAAACCTGGACTGGAGGCACACGCAACATTGGCTACTGAGGAAGTTGCTTACAATAACGCTACATGAAATTGGTTTCAGGACACATAAACTGGCTGTTACCATATAACAGGCCAGAGATTCTAGACAAGAAAGAGAACAGTGTTGGCCGTCATGATGACGGACTATATTCTGTTTAATTCCATGGGTGAGATTGTCTCTGATCAGATATTGTACTCATGGAAAGAACCTTACTATCAGCTATCAACGTTAATTGTGTCCCGCTCTAATCCGGCACTGTTGAATTCAATCCATACACAGAGAGAACGGTAGAATTTAACACAGAGAGAACGGTAGAATTTAAGAGCTGTAGCTACGGCGTAAAGTATGTACCTCCTAATAGCCAGAGTAACAAAATTTGTTTGAACACATGTGAATGTATATATGGGCATAAATCATGTAATGCTCAGTACGTAGTAAGTTAAAAGCTCTCTACTCAATGCACTCACTCATATTGACTCATCAGACTCATGAGTCAGAACAAGAGAAGAAAAGAAAAAAGTCTGAGGGAAGATTAGATTACGTCACCCACTCAGCTGGGTACCCCGCCAACTGCCGCCCGAAAAGCCTGGCAGAAAAACGCAAACACCCCTCCTCCCCTCCCAAAAATGGAAGCCTCTTCTTCTTTCCAAAGTTCCATAAGTTCCGCCAAACGTCACCTGTCTATAGTATAGTCTAGTCTATACTGTGTTTGTTAAGGACCCTGTCAGGGCCACTAAGTAATGAAATAGTAGCTTCTCGTAGCTTGTAGTTTAATCTAGCAGCAACGAGGATCATCCCACACATTCTCTCCCTTTGATTAGTCCTTTGTCGAATGGCCCAGAACTGCAGGCGGTCTTCTCGAAGCTGGCGATGGAGCGGGTGGAAGACCATCGAACCCCATGGATACCCGTCGAACCGCCGCTTGCTAGAAACTTCGCTGGAGTTGCCATTTCACCGCCCGCCACTATATCAACGTTGCCAGTCGCACATTTTCTCTGCTCCATTCATCCATTTTCTAAACACGCAACTACTACCACTCCCCTTTCCTCCTACCCTTTCTTCTCTAAGTCTCTTATACCCTTTCTCGAGGCTTTTTGTACATTACGATAATCTTGTTTAACGAATTCCTTCTACTACACACATAACATCACACATCATGGCCCCCGCTGTCGGTATCGATTTGGGAACCACCTACTCCTGCGTGGGTGTCTTCCGTGATGACCGTATCGAAATCATTGCCAACGACCAGGGTAACCGCACCACCCCCTCTTTCGTGGCCTTCACCGACACCGAGCGTTTGATCGGTGATGCCGCCAAGAACCAGGTCGCCATGAACCCTCACAACACCGTCTTCGATGCTAAGCGTCTGATCGGTCGTCGTTTCGCCGATGCCGAGGTCCAGTCCGACATGAAGCACTGGCCCTTCAAGGTTGTTGACGACAAGGCTGGCAAGCCCATCGTCGAGGTTGAGTTCAAGGGCGAGACCAAGCAGTTCACCCCCGAGGAGATCTCCTCCATGATCCTCACCAAGATGCGTGAGACCGCTGAGTCTTACCTTGGTGGTACCGTCAACAACGCTGTCATCACTGTTCCCGCTTACTTCAACGACTCCCAGCGTCAGGCCACCAAGGATGCTGGTCTCATCGCCGGCTTGAACGTTCTCCGTATCATTAACGAGCCCACCGCTGCTGCCATTGCCTACGGTCTCGACAAGAAGACCGAGGGTGAGCGCAACGTCCTCATCTTCGACCTGGGTGGTGGTACCTTCGATGTCTCCCTCCTGACCATCGAGGAGGGTATCTTCGAGGTCAAGGCCACCGCTGGTGACACTCACTTGGGTGGTGAGGACTTCGATAACCGCCTTGTGAACCACTTCGTTACCGAATTCAAGAGAAAACACAAGAAGTGAGTCACGTGACTTTTCTTCTTACTTCCCTCTCATTTCCCATTCATTTCTCCCTCAATTCCCTCTCATTTTCCCCTCATTCCCCCCTCAATTGCTGTGTGAGCCTTTGTGCTAATGTTTACCTAGGGATTTGACTACCAATGCTCGTGCTCTCCGCCGTCTCCGCACTGCTTGCGAGCGTGCCAAGCGTACTCTCTCTTCCGCTGCCCAGACCTCTATTGAGATCGACTCTCTCTTCGAGGGCATCGACTTCTACACCTCGATCACCCGTGCCCGTTTCGAGGAGCTCTGCCAGGACCTCTTCCGCTCCACCATGGAGCCCGTTGAGCGTGTCCTCCGCGACGCCAAGATCGACAAGGCCTCCGTCCACGAGATCGTCCTTGTCGGTGGTTCCACCCGTATCCCCAAGATCCAGCGCCTTGTCTCCGACTTCTTCAACAAGGAGGCCAACAAGTCCATCAACCCCGATGAGGCCGTTGCCTACGGTGCTGCTGTCCAGGCTGCTATCCTGTCTGGTGACACTTCCTCCAAGTCCACCAACGAGATCCTCCTGCTCGACGTTGCCCCTCTCTCCCTTGGTATCGAGACCGCTGGTGGTGTCATGACTGCTCTTATCAAGCGCAACACCACCATTCCCACCAAGAAGTCCGAGACCTTCTCCACCTACTCCGACAACCAGCCCGGTGTTTTGATCCAGGTCTATGAGGGTGAGCGTGCTCGCACCAAGGACAACAACCTCCTTGGTAAGTTCGAGCTTACCGGCATTCCTCCCGCCCCCCGTGGTGTTCCCCAGATTGAGGTCACCTTCGATCTCGATGCCAACGGTATCATGAACGTCTCTGCCATTGAGAAGGGTACCGGTAAGACCAACAAGATCACCATCACCAACGACAAGGGTCGTCTCTCCAAGGAGGAGATCGAGCGCATGCTTGCCGATGCCGAGAAGTTCAAGGCCGAGGATGAGGCCGAGGCTTCCCGTATCCAGGCCAAGAACGGTCTTGAGTCCTACGCCTACTCCCTCAAGAACACTCTCAGCGAGGGCAAGCTCACCATCAGCGATGCCGACAAGGAGAAGGTCAACGCCAAGATCGACGAGACCATCAGCTGGCTTGACTCCAACCAGACCGCCACCAAGGAGGAGTACGAGTCCCAGCAGAAGGAGCTTGAGGGTGTTGCCAACCCCATCATCTCCGCTGCCTACGGTGCTGCTGGTGGTGCCCCTGGCGGTGCCGCTCCCGGCGCCACCCGCACTGCTGACGACGTCGAGGAGGGCCCCGAGGAGCTTGACTAAATGCCTCAACTTTCAGTTTTGCTTTTAGTTCTTACTACCCATGGCTGTTCATTGGCTAAGTTTTTCTTTATTTGCGTGTTCTAATCTTCATGTCTTCTGTTTTCTTTAACGAAATTATGGGATCCTTTTCTTGTGCATGATTGCATAGATTCGAGGTTTAGTCTTCGCTGCATGATGATTCACTCTGCAGTAATCAGGAGGGAAAAGTTTCCTTTCGACGAATACAATAACTTTCTAATAATCTTTTCCTTCACCCTTTCGCTCTTCGTAGTAAAATCTGCACTCGTAAGCTCTAGCCGTAATAAGCCTTGTGGATCTTGAGGGAGTAAGCAGTAGGCATAGGACTCGAGACTGTTTGTACTTTGTGGCCTAGATACGGGAAAGCTCGGCCTCATCCTCGGCCTTGGAACTTCTCGGCATCGGCAAGCATGCGCTTTATCTCCTTGGAATACGACCATCGTCGTTGAGTTTAAATCTACTCCTAGGCATTCAAGCATATCTACCCTAGCTTATCATCCTAATAAAAGCTATAGTCTAATGAATGATGCAACAATACCATCACTTGTGCTAACTTCGGCATGTTGACAATAGCCAAGATCCCTATAATTATTTCAATGCGGTTTCACGCCAAATGGATGTCATACTATACATTAATAGTCAGGCAGGGTATAGAGGCAGTTTATCGACCCTCGACCCTCATTATATTGCTCTAAGATTAAGCCAATCATGGGGTTGCTGTTGTTACCTAGCTGGAGGCAATCAGACATGGTACTATCACGAGCAGCCTGGGTGCTCCGGTCGATACGTACTAATTCCCCCCCCCCACTGTTGAAGATTCTCTGAATTACACCCGCCAAAGTTCACATGTACACAGTATACTCACTCATATCTAGTATAACCACCGCAGCAATAGACAGAAAGCCCAGGATGTGTAAATCAATCAGTTCCCCCTCAACGCCACACAATTATCCACCGACGCATACGTTTATATACAAATCATCAACCAGAGGCAATAGTCTGACTGATAATGACAGAAGAGGAATGAATGTTTTTTCGAACCCCCTTCCTTCCCCCCAAACTCAGCCCGAATCCGATCGATCAGCGCTTGCTGCCTGCCCCCTCCCTCTCAACAACCCCCCCCCCCCCCAGAACCATCAAGAAAGCACCTATCTCCACGGCGAGAAAAGTCCTGGAGCCAGGAATAGGCGGATAGGAAACCGTCCAACATGTCCCAAACAAGACAAGATCCCACGGGGATATGCCTGCGAGCCATCACAGCCCTGCGAAATCGCCCGCCCACCAGCGTTGTACCCGACTCGCCCCCAGCTGCACCACACTCCCGATCCCGATGTCCTTGGCTCGCTCGGGGAATTTCTCGCGCTGTTCGCGCTGGATGCGCAGGAGGGCGGCGGTGGTGCCTATCGCGAAGGCGAAGATGGGATCTGCGGCTCTATATTTTGGGTACAAAATATTTTTAGTTTGCGATCGGATCTTTCAGTCTCAAAGTGTCGTGGATCAAACTTGCGATCGAGTGTTGTGGGTTTGGGAGTTTGGGCTCGGAGCTAGGAAACGAGAAAGAGGGGATGATGAGTAGCGGGGATTGTGTTTAGGGCGCTGCTTCTTGGGCAGACATGAATGGGGGGTTGAGATGGGTGAAGAACTGGGACATACTTGGAGATTAGGTAGATAGGCATTGTAAAGGCTGCGTTGCTGTCAATGATGGTAGTGGTTTGGGTGGTAGAGGTGGTGGAGTTAATACGGAAATTAGAAAGTCCCTTTGTCGCGTATAACTGCGGGAGTACCGTACCTCATGCATAGCATTCATTTATTGCGGCGGTGAGGTGGAACTTTAAGGAGCTTCCCGAGGCCCAGGTTCTAGAGTATAAACACGGACCGGACCTACCATCCTCCCTCAATGTATCTATTACCTACTTCTGCCATGTAAACAGTCTCTATGATGCTGGATGATCTGTCCTTCATTTCCAATGTGCTATCTCTGCCAGCGCAGAACCACTCGAGTCATCATCCGTCGATGTAGAACCACCCTCTCCTGTTTGTCTCACCCAAGAAGGGTGGACACCACAGCTCCAAATATAGACTATCTCTGTGTGGCCATTCCTAGTAACTCTTATATCCTGTAAGACAATAGTAGGCATCTCACATTACGCAGAATAACTATTGCTGTAGAGATTTCGAAGAGGATGCTGATATTCCAGCTTAAGCCGAGCGGAGCATATATAACGAGTTAACTAGTTGTTGTTCGATCAGTCATAGACTTACTAGCCAATAAATTCAAGAACAGGGCCTAGGATCTCTAGTATGAGAGTCTATCCTGTTTGGCAAATACGGGCACACTATCAATCAACTATAACTACAGGTGCACAGACAGGTTCCTCCTACTAACCAAAGGCATTGTCGAAGTGCCCTTTGCGGACCCTGCAGGGCCTATTCATACGGCCGGTTGAACCCCCTTATAAACATTCTTGTATACATATATAATTGATCAAAAGAAGTATAGGCACGAATGATCGTGCGTGTCGGCGCCAACTAGATTAGGCCGCGAACCCTACAGAACAATGCCCAGAAACATGCCCAGGCTCTAGAATTATGGGGTTAAGATACATGAAGTTAGCACCGTAATTCTATTTTCAGTGCGTCTCGTCTGCCCTACTGTCCTGCTAAGCTGATAGACGGAGAAAATAACAACGATAAGCATATTTGAGTCCCTCAGTGTACCTTGCCTCTGCGAACTGGGTAGCCACTCGCTGGGCAGGAAAGCATAGACGAACTAATACTGCACATGCACCCAGCCCTCCAGGTCTACCACGTATCCTCGATCTCTCTGTCGCCGCCCACTTGTCGAGTCATACGGCCACGTAGCGTGTGTTCATTCTTGCAGGTCGCAGGAAAACCGGACTTTGTGAGACATTGCTGTAATCCGCGAGGCCTAGCACTTGAAACACGTATCATCCTACATGATGTATCTTCCAGAAACCGCCACATATCCATCACTCAAACCCCCAGACTATCAAGCTCCCGTGGACCCGATACTGTGACTACGCTGGCAAGGCTGGCCACGAGAAGTGCGCCTGTCGGGCCTATATTGCGGAGAGCCTAGGGAGAGCCACCAACTAAATCAAGAGGAATGACGCCCCTCCCGTCGCCGATGGAGTTTTACAATCAAAGGCGAAGCCTAGAGGTTATTCCGAAAAGATCGAGAGGGCTAACAAGTTCCCCTAGTTCCACCGCACCTTGAGGAAACCGTGCTCGTCTACAAGGGTAAAAAACCGTAGATAGGAAGTCATATTAAGGGGAGATGTGTTTCTTCAATTCCAATCGCCATGCCGCCATCAAACTCGTGAAAGCAAAAGAAAAAGGTCTTGTCTATCAAATGCGCAAGGCTCAACAGACTGCTCTATTTTGGTACCAGAAAGCCCCGAAATCGAACCTGACATAAAATCGCGTCCCAAAAAAGCAAAGCACCCGCTATTATAATCAACGTATAATGACTTTTTTTTACACAACCTGGCCAAACGCAGGGATCAGCGTCTGAGCCAGCCAGAAGCTGAACACAAGCTTAGGCCCGGTCATCAACAGCTTGGGCGTCAGACCCTTGAAGAAACTGGTAAATCCCTCGTTCTTCATCATGTTGGACACGATCCGGAAACCAGACTCCGGGTTTTCGAAGTTGCGGTTCTGAATACGGGTCTTGATGACGTCCAAAGGAGCAGACACAACCAGAGAAGCACTAGCACCGCAGATGGAAGCCACGAAGTTCTGACCCCAGGTGGCAGAGTTGTAATCCTTCAGCTGGTAGATGTACTCCTTGGCAAAGGCGGAACCACCGAAAAGCTGTTCACGCCCAGTCAGCATTTAAGAAACATCCAGAGGAATGGTCACATACAGCAAAAGATCCAGGGGCGTTGCGGGCTGCAGTCCAGCCAGCACCACGGTACAGTCCCATTCCCTCATCCTGGATGATCTTGAAGAGGCCGCGGCCGCGGAAGGCCTCGGGGTTAGTTTGACGCTTGATCTTGAGAACGTCGAGGGGCAGAAGAACAATCTCTCCGATACCGATCAAACTGAATTATTGTTAGCGGGGGCTCAAGTCAAACAGCATCGGACATGCGCACCTTCCAGCTGTCGCGTGCATGATAGCCTTGCCAGTTCCCTTTCCGAAAGCATTGTCGAAGTCGGAACCGTAGTGCTTGGCCAGATAGTCGCGAGCGAAGGGCTGGCCACCGTACTTATAGATACGCTGAAGAACCTTGTAACCAGCGGCGTAACCCAGACCGGGGAAAAGAGAGGTAAACTTGCGGCCAGCGGGGGCGTCGGCAAATTCCTTGAAAATAACCTTGTTCATTGCTTCAGAGGAGGCGATCTGTAGTAGACGATTGTCAGAGAAGTCTTGAACTGGCCGAAATCAGTTGTAGAGTTGATGTCGTCTTACACGAGTCTGGTTGCTCATCAACCGCTTGGCAATGGTGTCGACCTTCCAGGCGAGTTAGCACAAGGTCTCAACAAGCGCGATATCGCTTTCATCACAACAAGTATGGGGGCATTCGTACAGGGTGGAAAACCATGAGCTCCGTAATACCAGCCGTTCCTAGCAACAACATCTGGTCAGCAACCGAGTACAAACACCAAACCATTCTCGGGGCTGTATATAAACACCTACCTGAACCCAGGAGACGGGCGGTCGCGGATTCTCTCTTGACATCCTTCGTGGCAGAGCCAGCACCAGCCTGAACAAGGGCGGGAGACATGTTGACCTGGTTGATAAGGATGGCGAAAATCTTAATTGAATTTTTTCTTTTCCTGTTTGGGTGAGTATGAGTCTTATAAAATTGGAAATAAGGGAAAGAGAAGTATGGGACCAGGAGAAAACAACTCACCACCAGAGTCAGAGGGGCGAAACACGACTGGAGCCAGACAATGCAGCGATGAAGGGAAGGGAAAGGGGAAAAAAAAGCCAGACACACGCCAGCCAAGAGAGAAGGAGAAGGAAGAAGAAGAGAGAGCAACTTTCCCGCAACTTTCTGCGCCGACTCGGAACCACTTCCAGCGGCCGCGGCGGACGGATGACTCCACTAGACTACTTTAGGTCTGGCACCACCGGCCCTGAATCGGAGCCGCTCTCTTAGGACAATTGAGTCAGCACACGCGGCACCGTGACGGGATTCCGGGACGGACCTCAGCGTTCCCCAGGTGCAGTGTAGTAGACTACTCCATACTGTGATTCATGGTCAAATATTCACACCATTTTCATTTTTGGAAAACAAATGATTTTGGCGGCCCGAGAGAGTTGGTCAGTGTAAACACGCAAGTAACAGTAGCAATAGAAGTGAGGTGTTCCTGCAGCTTGAGATCCTCGGAACCATACAAGTCCGCCCCTTCCAAGCTTAGCGGCACAGTGCTTCAAGTCAACGTACGATGATTACGAAAATCCCCCGGGTACTTGGCATCTCGGATCGCGCATGATTAAAGTCTCCATTCATTCGGTAATAGTTGATCTGAAGTTGGATCCCATTTAGACGATTTCCACATGAAGTAGACAGCTCGAAGACAGCTCGCCAAGAAAAGAGTCAAAGAAAAGGAAGAACATAGATAGCCCCGTAAGAACGCCGACGGAACAATACATCAAAAGCACCAGTGACCAGCGCAGTCGAGCTTGCCCATCTTGCTACGGCCCACAACTGATAGATCCCATGCCTAAGGGGTCTCTCAAAAGGCCCACGATGAAGCGACTTAGCGTTGGCGCGACTTGATTACTTTAAGGTAAAGCAAGACAGAAACGGACAGGTCGACCAGCGCCTAGTAGTCACCGAATGTGTTCTCGCCGGAGTACCTAGCAGCGACAACGAAATCAGCCAAGGTAATTCACCAAATATGGGCCTAGAGCTTACGTGATGTACAGGAATCCATCCTCATCCTTGTGCTCTTCGTAGATGCTGCTCATGAGCGCTGCTGTTGGCGGAAGGACCTCATCAACGAAAATGAAGATGGCCTTCTCAGGAGACAGCTTAATACGCTTGCGAATCACGTAGACAAACTGTCCAACGGTGAGATCGGCCGGAACAAGGTACTTCTTTTTGTCGATGGTTGCAATATCTGACTTCTCGACCTTTTCGCAGATCACCTGTAGGGTAGAAAAGAGCGTGGTTAGTATCGCGAACAGGCGGTGAGCCACGGACACACAATGAAACCCCAAAGACGATGATGTTGAGCATGGCGGACATACCGGAATGCGATCAGCGTACTTCTGACGGATACGCTCGGCCTCAGCCTTACGCTTCTCGAAGGGATGCTCGTCCTTGAACTTGGAACGCATGGTGATAGAAGGATCGGGGCGGTTACTTGGGAGCGGCAGCGTTAGACCGATAGAGATCGAAGGGTACCGATAGTTGCTGCGATAAGATGATTCTAGGGTGAAACCGGAATCTGAACTATGATGAAAGCGATGGAAAGAAGCGAAACAGTTGACAAATGGATGTATGGATAGATGGATGGATGGATGGATGGATGGATGGATAGATAGATGGAGAGAGATAGATAGATAGATAGATAGACAGAGACGAGGGGGTGGTGGAAAGGAGGATGAACGGTGATGACAAAAGGTCAAGAGAAGGCGGACAGGCAGCCCCGCGTCATGGCAGAGAGCAGTAGGGGCTGCTGATAAGGCCGCCAGGCAAGCGCGGATCACGGGGGCGGAGGCGGTGAACCCGCGCCCCCACACGCCTGGGTTGAGTCAAAGCAAGGTCAGGTGTTTTGTGTTTTTGTCATTGTCCCTTCACGTGGAAAGCAAAGGTTCGTCCAACTGACCCAAGTCGGATGATCGTATCGCTTGGTGCCATCCTGGGTTTTCCAGCAAATGTGACTTTACTACCCGTACATACTTGACCGATCGAGTAGATGTACACTACTCATAGATAATCTACATAGCGGGTGCGTTGCCACCAGTGCCTCCACTTAGGCCAGTGTCTAGATCCCGAGTCCTTGGTCCCATTTCCGCCCGAGGAATTTTGTCTACAGCCATGAGGGCCCCGAAGGTGGTTCCTGAGTCACAGCTCCTTCTATTGAATTTGCAGTTAATCCTATATGTTTTGGGATATGTAAAGATTTTATAAGACCAAAGATTGTGCCAATTCCTGCACAGTACAGTAATGCAATCGACAAAGAATATACACACTCTTGGAGGCATAGGAGCCGATTAGCACGTGACCTTCACTGACCAAGCATACAGCACAAACAGCACAAACAGCACAAACAGCACAAACCGCATGCTGCGGGTAACTACAGTGCACTCACGACATGGCGGATTTATGCAAACCGGCCGCAGGTGGTGGTCCCATACTCTTTCGGAACCTAGCTGAGCCAACCAATTATTATCCCGTGAAAGTGCGCCGCACCTGGTACTTTCTGCTCCAAACTACTACTTACCTAGTACCCAACTTGAACAATAGCGCGGAGTCTCGGAAGAACGCAAGCACGAATCTGGCACCACCTGATCCATAAGCAGATCAGCCAATTCTTCAATTGCCCCGTCGACAATGGCTATGGCTCGGCCATATATGCCTCTGCGGAGGTCCGTTTGTCAGGTCTTCCCTCGAGCCTCTTGCACTCCTCGCGGCGTCTCAGCGCAGTTTCGCAGGCACCTATCAGAGCAAAAGCCACGCGAATCTAAACCCTTTACTGTGTGGAGGCCATACCTACGACTAGCAATCGGTGTGCCGTTCATCGCGGCCCTCATTTATTCCATGGTACCAATTGCAACTCTTCAGCCCCGCACCGCTGGCCCCAGTTCTGACCTTGCGATCTATATAGATGACAGGTGAAGTAACCGAACTCGACTCGCCGTCAATTGTGGAGCTCGATGAGGCATTGAAGAAACAAGCAACAATCAGCGAGACGTCACCTATGCGTCTGCGGATGGAGAAGTTGATCAAAGAACACCAGCAGAAGATCGTGGAAGAATTGAGCAGGATAGATGGAAAGCAATTCAAGAGCGACGAGTGGACGCGCCCCAATGGAGGCGGTGGCATTTCCTGTGTTCTTCAGGACGGGAATGTCTTCGAGAAAGCTGGGGTCAACGTATCAATTGTATACGGGGAGTTACCTCGTCCCGCTATCGAGAAGATGCGAGCTGATCACAAGTCCTTTGTCGGGGCCGATGTGGACTCGCTGAGCTTCTTTGCAGCCGGTCTCTCCTTGGTCCTGCACCCACACAATCCTATGGCTCCGACAGTCCATCTGAACTACCGTTACTTCGAGACGACGGACCCCAAGGACCCAATTAACGGTGATAAGAACTGGTGGTTTGGTGGCGGTACTGATCTGACTCCCACCTACCTTTTCCCTGAGGATGCCAAACACTTCCATCAAACAATTAAGGACGCCTGTGACCGACACGACGCCACATATTACCCCAAGTTCAAAGCCTGGTGCGACAAGTACTTCTATTTACCTCACCGCCGTGAGTGCAGAGGTGTTGGTGGTATCTTCTTTGATGACCTTGACGCCAGTTTCTTAGAGTCTTCGTCTACTTCGTCACAAAATCCGCAAGAGACTCTCTTTTCTTTCGTGTCGGATGGGCTTGCGTCTTTCCTCCCCTCCTATGTGCCCATCATTGAGCGTAGGAAGGATATGCCATTCACCCCTGAACAAAAAGAGTGGCAGCAGCTTCGTCGAGGTCGCTATGTTGAATTCAACCTGGTATACGACCGTGGTACCAGCTTCGGTCTTCGTACACCCAATGCCCGAGTTGAAAGTATCTTAATGAGTCTTCCTCGTACAGCAAGCTGGGCCTACATGGACCCAGTGTCCGGGACTCGCACTGAGGAGCCTGATTCGGAAGAAGCGCTGTTAACTAAAGGCAAGGAGCATGAGAAGGAGATCATGGATGTTTTAAGACACCCTAGACAATGGGTCTAGGAATAACCGGAGTTTTCCCATTTCACTTTCCTGTACATCAGAGCTGGTCCACCCTTCCTTCTCAACGACAATTTGAATTATGTACGATATCGATTAAAGTGAGCTCACACAAGGTAGCACATAAAGCAATTCAGTAACCTCCCTCGGTACCGCAGACGAGATCATGTTGAGCATACAGTGTGGCCATGAGGGTCACGGATTGTCCGCAAAAATTGAGACTGATAATCAAATTTCATTCCCACACGAATGGAATCTATCCACAACGATGGTGTTATGCGGCGCATAAAGGGGTAATTCAATGCAAAGGTATAACGGGTAACACACCCAAAGATATATAAACACATGGGACACATGGGACGAAACGCGGAGCAAGTTCAGCCAAGAGATATGAAAAGGAAAGAGGCGTGGCCGAATATACATACAGAAAGCTCAGCTCTATCGACCAGCGACCACGCTTCTCTGTTTGGCCAGCCAACCCTTTTGTGCATCAGCCAGGGTTCCGTGGCGGTATCTAGACATTGTGACATTGTTGTTCTGCAGTCGACTCTGCAAATCATACCATGAGGAGCTCATAAGCTCAAGCTCCCGAGTTTGAGCCTCAATTGTCTTCTGAAGCTCAAACTGTGCAACCAAAAAGTTAGTGAAGTGACAAAGATGAACACAGAATGAGATCGCAAGTTCACTCCCAGCGCATAGACCCTCACTCACCTCACGCTCTTTGCTGATTCCAGTATCTGTATCATCCTCGAGCTGCCTTATGCGCTCCTGGAGGAACTTGATATGCTCGTTTTGTTGATGAATGTACTACAAATGTCCAGTTAGTGACTGGTATGAGTAAAAAAAGTTCAGGGGTCAAGCGACTAAGTCGCAGCAGTCGAGAGTCAAGGCTTGAACCTTGTGACGAGAAAGCGACTCATATGGTACAGACTTGCAGCCTTTCTAGCCGATAAGACAGGCATATTGCCAAATGGCCGGTCCGTATGGTGATTGAGTTGTTTTCTGCAGCCACTGGAAGGCCCAAAGGGGGAAGGCTTCACGCTGGTTCGTCTGACGCAAGCCGACAGCTGTGGAGGAAATGCATAACTGACCTCTGCGCGCTTGGCTAGTCTTTCCAGATTCTTCTCAATCTGTGCGGCAACTTGCCGCGTCAATTCCACGGCAGATTTCTGTGCAGCTTCGGAGTCATCACCGTCCTCCTGTGCCAGTAGTTCAGCAAGCAACTTCTTCATCTCCTCTGCTGCTTCCTGATCCTCTGCGCGGAACTCCGCTTGCTTCTTCTCTAGAAGGCCTCGAAGGTCGTCGCGCTCAGCACAGGTTACCTGCACCAAAGTATGAGTCGAATCAAGCTCAGCTTGAAGATTGTTGAGTTTGCGCGTCACGTCATCCCATGCATCACGCATTTTGCTTAATTCGGTTGCATTGTGTGCTTTGACTTCCGCCATCAAATCAATTCTTTCGTCGCTGGCAAGTTCGACTACACGACTATCAGTACGATTATTTGGGCTCACGAGGCTTTAGCAAATCGAACTCACGCTCTGCCATTGTATCACTCAACGACCGCTTAGTCACATCAAGAGCGTCCTGAGCTTCTGCCAGCCTCTTGAGTGTCGCTGTAAAGTGATCGTACAGCTTCCAATACTCATCACTAGGTATTAACATTAGAAACGGAGCTGGCTAATCACAGGTAAACATACCTCTGCGTTGAGTTGGCGCGAGCTTGCTGCAAAGTCTCACTGAATGTTTCAGAGAAGCCTTCGAGTACCTATAAGTTGCCCGTCAATATCCTCGTGAGTAGATTGTTAGCTGTGAAGCGACGTACAGATACTGAAGGTCCCCTTAGTGATTCAACCTCCTTCTTGAGATCCTCGGTTTCAGGTTTACTGTTGACAGCCGTTAGCACATGCTTTGCCAGCAAAAAGAGGAATGATTTCCATACAGTTGCGATTCTTTCACACCAATGGCCTCGAAGTCTTTCTGTAAGGTTCCTTCTAATTTCGGAGTCTCTGTCCCCGGCGTCAGGGATGGACTACCGGGAGACCCTTCCAACTCCCGGACTCGTTCTCTCAGCTCGCTGATCAAGGCGTCGTCGCGCTCGCGTTGTTCTTCGGCGTTGCTAAGACGCTCAGTAAGTGCATGATTGTTGAACTCCAATTGCTTTTTAAGATTCTGAATTTCGCTACACTCCTGCTCTATGCGAGGCAGGACTCTCCTGTACTCCTCAAGCTCTACCTCGCGCTCAGAATTCCATTTCTGCTGTGAATCCGTCTCCTTAAGTTGCTGCTGGAGATCCTTTAGTTGATTTCTGAGGGACTGATTCTCCTTCTCAAAGTCTTGACTTGCTTGCAACTTTTGGCGGTACTTCTCGGCTGCATTCGCTTTCCGGGCTAGCTGGTCTCGTTCGGTCTTCAGCTCATCATAGTCATCTTGCAATTTTTGGAAACGCTGATTCTTGACTCGTAGTGATTCGACGGTCATTCGTAGACTGTCAATTTCATCTTGTGCCGTGGCTAGCCTGGCTTCTTGGGTAGCAATTATGTCCTCTTGTTGGCGTGACTTGGACTCGAGAGCCTTGGCATTGAGTCCAAGATCTCCTTTACCAGATCGCAAGTTGATAAGCCGATCCTCAGTGGATGCCAAGCGGCTCTGCAAGGTGTCGTTGTTCTCCTGGAGGCGTGCCAATCGGTCATGCATGTCGTCAATCTGCTTCTGCATATCCTTTTTCTCCCGAGCCATGCGATTATTCTCCGCCAGTACCTTTCCGACACGCTCCTCGAACTGTAATTCTGGATCGACGGGTGGCTCCCGATCCTCTTTGATGTCATCCTCGCCGTCAATGGCTTCGTGCTGGCCATTTTGTGCCTCTTCGAAGATGTTCTTAAGGGTCTCTTGCGCTGGGGTGCTTAGCGTCTGCAAAGTCTCGACATAGATCGGTGCGTTGGGCGAACGAATGGCTCCAATCAATAGCAATTTGAGAAGCTTGTTGGCCTCTTTCTCGGAATTCTTCTCGGCGACAAGTTCTAGGTTGGGGTTCGGATCTAGACCGGATGGCATGCCATCAGGCTGCTGACGGATGTAGTTGACAAGCAGTTTGTGGATATGTTTCAAATTCTGCCATTTAGACAGCCAGTGGTCAGACGGGGTTCGTTGGGGAATCTCATCAAGGAAGTACTGCGGGTCGATATCTTGTAGAATCTCCCAGATGATGATCCCATCGGAGAGCTCCTCTGTTGTGCGGATGGTTTTACCCAAAGCGAAGCTGTTTATCCACTCTAACAGAGCCTGCGTGATTGTATGCTCCGCAGTCATGGCTGCCGGTCAAGCGGATGAGAGGAGTTGTTCAGAGCGTAGAGGGTAACACCGCGACCAAGTAGCTGCTGGGGGCGGAATTATTGAGATGTTTTTGATGTGTTCGTGGGGGCGCAGCCGGATGCGAAGAAGGAAGGAACAGGTTAAAATGAGCCCTCATCCACCTAAGAAAACACAGACCCAGACAACAAAGGATGGGACTGAGATCGTCGAGCGATCTTTTTTTCTGGTGGAAGGATGAACCCCGGAGTGTTAAGCCTAAAGGGTTGGGGGTTGGAGGGTTGGAGGGTCGGAGGCGCGGGATCCACGCCACGCGCATGGACAAGATTGAGCTACTATAATTAATTAATCCAGTCCCGCTCGGGGCCACCAAGAAAGGATCCGGTCGATATCAGTAGTTGTATGGAAGGTATATACACTTTATCGCTAGAGCGAGCCTCTACTGCGAGAGTCCGAAGTGTCTATTTATGTCTCAAGCTCTCTGCGCGAATAACAATTCCATTGTACTGTACGTAATAACTATTCAGGGGGACTTGGCCGCACACCGGGCAAGCAAGACACAAGATCCCAAGATAACTACCTATTATATTCAACGCAAAGACCTGAAGACAGATTCGAATTATATTCCGGCGCGCCCCCAAAATCCCTCATAGCCATCATTATCATAACATTGTTGTTTTCAAGAAGTAGCCCGTTAGTTGCCGACATTGGACATCTCAAACTCCCGAGACCAGCAGGAGGTAAGCCAAGTGACGACGAACAACCTCAGACCTCCTCCAACTTGAAGCAGCAGCGGTTCATTTTACTGGATCGAGACCATTTGATCTTGTTCGATTGTGGGTTTGTAAGCTGCGGACTGGGTTGATATCTGCTGGATAGCTTCTTCCGGACAGTCGGCCGAAAAGCCTCTAAAGCGAAGGTCAGAACAAGTGACGAGGGATAGGTGCAATAAAATTACTTGATCAGAGCTACAAAGATAGAGTATGGTTAGTTCCAAGTCCAATATAAGTGGTAAGAGACAGGGGCGCAAAAGTTCTTACTAAACTCATGTGTAATCTGGCCACCCTACGGGCATAAAACAATTAGCATAGTCGCGCGACACTGACTTATGACAGGCATTCAGCAGCATACAGCATTCAGAACGGAATCTTTGGCCTGCTGAAGCACCGAATCTGGAGTCCCTGCAGGGAAAGAGACCAGAACCGACTTAGCCAGAGTTAGCGGCACAAGACTGGAGATAGCCGCCGAGATTAGCTGCATCTTGAGACGAGATAGTCGGACGGAATGGACACTGAATGAATATACGACAAGACAGCTTGAGTAAGTGTGGACTCGTCTTTCTAGTCTTGAGATGGAAAAAGGCTTGCTATGAGTGAATACTATGGACTGATAAGGTCGAAGCCGGACCGGAGACTGGAGTAGGATGAATTGTAATCTGCCCATTCATGCATGCGTCATTAATGGACTTAAAACTAGTACCTAAGGGGGCTGTCTGGTCTCGAAGAGGGTTAGGGCTGTATTTAGGATACATAGTATCAATACTGCAGCATTACTGAGCTGGTATATGTGTTGTTATCATGGCGTAAGATACGAAGTTATTCAAGTCGAGCGGTTGCTGACTCAGTCTGGAGCCAGTCAGCCCTTTCCCGACCGTCGGTTCTGTTGAGTGCTCTCAAGGTCAGTAGCTTCTGCTTCTGCTTCTGCTTTCCATGCCTTGCCCTTTTCCCTCAGCTCCTTTCAAGCTCTTTCCCCCTTCCCCCCCCCCCCCCCCCCCCACCCCATTCACCAATTCCCATTCTTTCTATTCTCGCTCACCTTGCTTGCTGCTCACTTTTCCTTATCCCTCCTCCCCTCTGCTCTCCTCCTCTTCCCTTACCCTCTCTGTCTTCTCTCCTCCCTTCTGTCGACTTTCTTCACGTCTCCAACAAAATCACATTCTACCTGCCTATCCCGCTTTTGCTTACGCTTACGGTTAACGCTCGCTTCGGACCTTCACCTCGTGCCCTTTCCATCAACTGTCCTCGTGATTCAAATCATATCTCCCGAGGACCTTCCTTCTTTCAGCCCCGAAGAAAGCAAATCCTCGTCCATCATCTTAGTTTCGTTGGAGCTTCTTTGGCTAGGTATACTCCACAGGAAGTATTGATCGGCGCTGGATTGAGCGCATGAGGTAGCTTGACATCGAGGACACGGGAGGATTGTTGGTGCGCTGGTGCTATTTCGGTGACTGCTGGTTCGGGTGGAGGAATTGCGCCTGCATCCGCGTGTTGTTTTCTCCAAGTCTGACCCAGATAGCTAGCAAGCATTTGACAAGTTCCGCCGTCTCTTTCCATCTCTTGCTCTTCCAGGAGATCGTTGTTCCTGGAGAGAAACAAAGAAGGGGAAAATAGGAAGTTCTAATCTGGGTATTCAGAAGATTCGAAACAATCCACGAGAAGAAAAGACTCAACAAAGAAAAGAAGCCAAAATCCGAAATCCCATCTGAGAAGGGAAAACAGAAAGAAAGAAGAAAGGAAAAAGAGGAAACAAAAGGGAAAAAAAGAAAAAAAAAGAGGCAGATTATCAGCGCAAATAAGATTTATACAAACACAAGGAAAGCTTCGAAAGTTGCCGAAAGGGAAAAAAAAGATAAGGAACAAAAACCAGAGAAACTGAAGATAATATCTCTCTGTGTCTTACAGCACTACCTACAACTCTCTTTAGTCCTTTCCCATTCCCCGTTCTGCACTGCCCACCTCGGCTCCCACTGTTACCGTGTATCATCCCCATCATGTCTTCTGGACTGGCCTCCGATGAGGTGGCCGAGGATTACAAGAACTCTTTGGAAGATCTAACCACAAACGATAGGTTCCAGATCAGCAATCTTACGGTCATTGCGAAAGAGAACACAGAACATGCAATGGCCATCTCCCGCGTGCTGGAGAATCACATTCGAACAGTAGGTGACATACTCTCGCCACTTTCACAACACCGAGTTGCTGCTGTTGGACCTGCCAAAGCGCAAGACCGTCTGTAGTTCCGGTTCCTGGATGGATGAGTTCTAATTTGCTCTGTAGACACCGCCGGCTCAGAAACTGCCTGCCTTGTATGTAGTCGACTCGATCGTCAAGAACGTAGGGACGCCCTACACCTTGTTTCTGGGTCGCAACATGTATCAGACATTCATGAATGCCTATACGTTGGTGGATTCGCAAACTCGCCGCAAGCTCGATGAGATGCTCAAAACATGGAAAGAGCCTGTGCCCGGTTCCTTAGACACCAGGCCCGTGTTCCCTCCAGAAATCACGCGCAGTATCGAAAGTGCCTTGATCAAGGCAAGGACTGCAGCCCTTCAGCAACAGCAAGCCCGAAGCCAGCAGGAAATCCTCACGCGTGGTCGAAATGGGACTCCCCCCGGCTGGTCCAGTACTCCGACACCACCACAGAATCTGGCCCGGTACCCGCCAGCCTCGAGCCAAACCGTTCCGGCTCCATACCAGCGGAATGGCGCAGGTCATGCATATCCGCCCCCGGTGAGTTTTGTCGAGTGAAAAACTCAGCCAACTTGGTTAACTGAACTGATTCGCAGGGGGACACGCATGCTGCACGCGCCATGTCCACAGCGCATATCCAGCAACGCTCGGAAATCGATCTATCCGCCTTGAACCGGGATATTGAATCCTTGATTGCCGCAGCCCGCGGTGATTTCGCCACCAACCCTCTCGATTCGGCCGTGCAGCAACGATTGAAAGCTCTACTCGACCTGCAGGGCATCTTACAACGCCAAGAGCTCAACCAAGAGCAATTGAGGTTGGTTCGTGATCAGGTATCAGCCCTGGCACCAAAACCAGTCATCCCGGCACCTCAAGCCCCCCAAAATATCCCACCTATTTCAATACCTCCCGTAGCCGCTACCCCACCAACCCAAACGCACTCGCAGCCTCTCCAGCAGTTGCTCAATCCGGGTATGCTCGCCGGGCTTATCAAGGCCACTGCTGCGCGTCAACAGCCCACCCCACCGCCTCAATTGGCCGGGATTTTACCCCAGATACCGATTTTGAACAGCACGCCCCAGCCCGCTGTTTCCGCGACAAACGAGAATCCTCTCATTGCAGCTTTGCGGGCGCAGGGGCTATTACCACCGGCATCGGCACCTCCAACTGCGTCTACCGTTCCTCCTCCTAACATTGCGTCTGCATTCCCACTCATCGTGCCTGGTCAGGTGCGATATACACCGCCTGTACCCACACCGCAGGCTCAAGGCAATGCCGAAGGGCAGATGGATGTGCAGATGAATACTATGTCCATGAAAATGTAAGCTGCGCGTGTGAGAAGACGTCCTTGAGACCTGCTGACTTGTGGTATCATAGCCCACGATATACACTGATTAGCAGCCTTTATGAAATGCGCACCAATCGATGTGGGACGTGTGGCCGTAGATTCTTCGCGACCGAAGAAGGGAAGGAGAAGAAGGCGCGTCACCTGGATTGGCACTTCCGCACTAACCAACGCATGTCCGACGCTGCCAAGCGGGCCCAGAATCGAAGCTGGTACGTTGACGAACGGGTAAGTGATAAGCATTCTTCCGGTGGAGGCCATTCTGAGGTGGTTCACAAGCTAAAACCAACGTTAGGATTGGATCAAATCCCGAGAAGCAGGAGACGACCAGAATCCTACAGACACGGAAGCCTCTGGCGACGCAGCTGATGGACATGATGGCAATGTTGCGAAAAAGGGACCGTCCAAGCCGTGGATCCGGGCGCCCAATGATGCGACTCTGCGGAATACTCCTTGTCCAATCTGTCAGGAGAAATTTGAATCCACCTGGTCAGAGGATGTACAAGATTGGATTTGGCAGGATGCAACCAATGTTGGGAGTCGTGTTTACCATGCTAGCTGCTATGCTGAAGTGACTAAGGAAGGCCCAACGCCAGCTAATCGGGGGGCGCCACTGGCACGCACCGGGACTCCAGACTCTGTGCTGGGTAAACGCAAGGCAGAAGTGAGTATCCCTTTCCCTTTCTTGAAACAAAGCAGGCTGTCTATCTCTAACAATGTCAAGCAGGTGACCAACTCCCCAAGTTCGAATGTACGGATTAAGACAGAGCCTATCTGAATGGCAGTGTCCATGCCACATAGACTCCATTCCTCACACCCACTTCCTTTCATAACATTGCTTTGAGGCAAAGCTGCATCAACATTCATCGGCTGGTGGCTTTTGTTTTGCATCGGGTCCGGAAGACAGGCATTTCCATGGACGGCGTTACTGTTTCTCTTTGCTACGTTCCCTTTCCAGGACTTCAAGACTCCAAGGGCACTGACAATTGCTGATGGGCCACAGGCCACACACATCCACAAATAAATGAACCCCTCTTGCAGATCTTGTATATAGATCACCATTATGATCTGAAGAAAAAAAGTAGAGATGAGTGCAGTCGGAATTTATCTGATTCAATCTGATTTGGTACATCTTATTCTAAATTTCTATGTCTCTTCTTCTCCCCCCCCCCCTATTGCAAGGTGCTTGGCCTGCCCAGTGCCTGTAAGTGACGTACGTAGGCGGGGGTAGTTTGCCCCGCTCGGCGTTACTCCGCGTTGTCAAAAGATAAAATAAACACCTAAACTACTTAAAAGAAGGGTCCAGTCCACCCGTTCCCTTGTTCCCCTGTTCCCTCATTCCCTTATTGCCCTTTGTCACCGTCTCGCCTACCCCATTCCTCTTCAGCTTAATCGTTTTGTTAGACCTTTCACCATGGCTCCTTACAATGTCCGATGGGGAATAATGGGTAAGAAACATTACAATCCCATGCATTTCTCTCTCCACGCCAACCCCGCCCTGATTCGAGACATCCTGCACAAACTCAATTGTAATGGTACCAGACTGACATGTGATAAACTTATTCGAAACTCCGCTTAGCCACCGGCTGGATTGCCGACGGTATGTTTCCCTCCATAGAATCCGACGTGTGTGTAGTATCTCGTACACGGGCCTCGTTAATCTGACCAGCAAATAGTCTTCGTTCGAGATCTTCTCCGAGATCCTCTTGAGCGTGGCGCATCTGACGTCTCCCACAGCATTGTGGCAGTAGCATCATCATCATCGCAAGCTCGATCTGAGAAGTTCATCTCTGACACGGGCATCCCCGCCCCCTGTGCAGCCTACAGCTCCTATGAGCAGCTCGTGACAGATGTCAACGTGGACGTAGTCTACGTCGCAACTCCCCACTCCCACCACTTTCAAAACGTCATGCTAGCCCTGGAGGCGGGGAAGAACGTTCTTTGCGAAAAGGCCTTCACGGTCAATGCGGCCCAGGCGAAGATCCTGTGTGAGACAGCCAGGAAGAAGAACCTGTTCCTTATGGAGGCCGTTTGGACGCGATACTTCCCGCTCAGCGTGCAGGTCCGAGACTTAATCAAGCAGGGGGCCATTGGCGAGGTCCTCCGTGTGACGGCTGACAATAGCTTCGGCGACCCTGTTGAAGAACGCTGGGGAACAGAACATCGAATGGTCAATAAGGATTTGGCCGGCGGATGTTTATTGGACTGTTAGACTCTCTTGCCTACCTTCTTACCTGAACCGTGCCCAGTGCTCCGAAAAGGCCAAAGCTGACCAAAAAAATGCTGCAGTGGGTATCTACTCCCTGACCTGGGTTTTTCAGACCCTGTATCACACCCTTCCCCGAGATCAGCGCAAACCACCTTCAGCCATCTCAGCTCACATGGCGCTCTACCACCTAACTGGAGCCGACGAAGCGACCACTATCCTCCTCAGCTTTCCTACCAGTACGCCGTCCAATCTGCCTCACCCAGGCCAATCCCACGCCGTGGCCATGACCAATCTACGTGTCGCTACCGACCCCGACGAGGCCAACACTGCCCGTCCAGCCATTCGCATCCAGGGCACCAAGGGTGAGATCCAGGTGGACGGACCAGCGTTCCGACCGGAGCGGTACCGCATCATTCCCAAGAAAGGGAAAGGTGAATTCAAGGAGGTCGAGTGCCCGTTTCCTGGCGACGGAAAGGGCATGTTCTGGGAAGCAGATGAGGTGGCGCGGTGCTTGCGGGACGGAAGCTTAGAAAGCGAAACCCTGCCATGGGAGGAGAGTATCGTCATCATGGAAGTGATGGATGAGGTTCGGCGTCAGGGCGGGCTGACTTATCCGGAGAAGATCGAGTCGACGGTTTACCCCACGCAACTGTAGTATTTACGCGGGACAGGTTGGGATGGACCGAGGCTTACAAATGCTAGGCCAAATGACAATTTCTATTCCGAAGCACGCTGCCATTCAAAGAAGTAGTACTGTACATAGCAAATCCCTCCCGGAAGGTATTCATCTATATATGAAACTCAAGACACATTACAATTTTTCATGTCCATTACCTCATTCGATCGCTGCAGCCTTCTCTGCAGTGTTGATCCGTGACCGGCGGAAAAGACTTGGGATCAGATCTCACATGAACAGTCGTTCCCTCGCCTTTCATTCCATCCCGCGAAGGCAAGAAGGTATCAGGATGATAGGTAAAAGGAGACAATGACTTGGATCCCTCCTTGGTGGGAATTGCAGCCACTAACTGCTTAGGGCTTCTGGAAAACCCCCAAGAGCGATTTCCACACCTGGCCAGGCTCTTGGCTGGCGTCGATACCACGCCAGATACCGGTCTTCTTGTAGTAATCAACCACAGGAGCCGTTTGGGCGTGGTAGGTGCCGAGACGCTTTTTGAGAGTGTCGGCGTTATCGTCAGAACGCTGGATCAAAGGCTCGCCGGTAATATCATCCTTCATCTCCTCCTTAGGAGGGTTGAAGATCTTGTGATAAGAGCGTCCGGAGGCCGGGTGGACCAGACGCCCGGTGATACGAGCAACCAGCAGAGCATCGTCAATCTGCAGCTCAACGGCATGCTGGAGCTTCTGCTGGCGCTCGGCCAACATGTCGTCCAGGCGCTCGGCCTGCGCAACAGTGCGCGGGAATCCATCGAGGATGAAACTAGAAACCGCAGTCAGCTCATACTCTTGTGCATGTGGCTCAAGGATATCAGGAACAGAGGTGGGTGAAGGGGGACAGACCCATTCTTGCACTCGGTGTTGTTCTCAAGCTCACTCTTGATCATGTTGACCATGATCTCGTCACTGACCAGACCTCCCTGGTCCATGATCTTCTTGGCCTCTCTTCCGAGATCAGTCTTCTTGGCAACCTGAGACCGCAGCATATCACCGGTAGCCTATTCGCATATGTACAGTCAGAACCAAATATCAGTGAATCCAGACTCTATCCACCAGAGCATAAACTCACCAAGTGGCAGACGCAGTACTTTTCCTTGAGCCGGGGGGCCTGAGTACCCTTGCCTGAACACAGCGATCGGTCAGAATTCCGCACCAAGAACAAGGGGAGGGCCAGTAATGGCAAGATAATAGGCATTTCCAAGCGTACCAGCACCGGGAGGTCCCATCAAGATGATGCGCATATGCTCAGTAACAGACTTGGGCTTGACTTCACTGGTGAGGCGACCCTCCAGGTCCTCAATGCGAGCCTCAAGCTTCCCGATGGTGTCCTTGAGACCATGGATGATCTCTTCCGTGATGGGAGCCATTGCGATTGACAAATATGGTGAGGAAGTGTTGTGGAATTGACACTACCAAAGGTAGCCGGAAAAAGAGACAAGCGGAGTGAGCAAAAGGAGGCAAGGGAAGAGAAGGAGGATGAGGGCGCGCAAAAGTAACGGGGAAAGGGAAGCGGATAGAAAGTTGACTTCGTTTGGGGGGGTCAAGTGGTTGAAAAGAGGCCGCCGACCGGAGTGCCGGGGTGGAGTCGCGGCGCGCCCACCCGAGGCTGCGGCGCCGCGCGGAGCAATAATCAACTATTTGTAGAGAACTTCAGTAATGCAGTATGCAATTGCAATTGCTGTGACCATGGCGAAGCAAGGGACCTATTCTAGGCGAAAGTTGCTCATCTAGACTATCTATCTAACATTTGCGACAATTGCTAGTAGGTGCAGAGTGCAGACAGACGCATTTCGGACGGATGGACAGCGAGACCGCCATAGTGCCTTGGGGCCTGAGGCATAACACGCAGCATACCATGTGTGGCTGACGCATTAACCAACTGTTCAGCCACACAACACCCGGAAGCTCCCCCGAACTGCCACAGCTATTCCATCGTCATCTCTCCTCCTCTCCTCCTCTCTCTCTCTCTATCTCTCTCTCCCTCTCTTCGGACTTCCTGTCACTTACTTCCCATTCTCATCTCATCTGTGCTAAAGCTCTCTCTCCATCCTTTGACGAGCCTAGTCGTCGCTATACTTGCTACTTCTCACTTAGCTCAGTGATACCGCTCTGCGTCCTTGTTTCCCGCCATGCCTGCCACCACGGCGGACACACTTTCCCTTGTCCAGCGAACTGTCACCGTCGCCCCATTAGTCCTTCTTTCCGTCGCAGATCACTATGGTCGCTCAGCTAAAGGCACTCGGAAACGAGTGGTAGGTGTGCTGCTAGGAGAGAACTCGGGCCAGACAGTCCGCGTATCAAACAGTTTTGCCGGTAAGTTCATCTGCTGGTAGATCCTCTCTTCCATCTTCCATCGGAATGAACTGACCGTTCTTGGTGACTAGTTCCCTTCGAGGAGGATGAGAAGGATCCATCTGTGTGGTTTCTCGACCACAACTTTGTCGAGTCGATGAGGGACATGTTCAAGAAGATCAACGCACGGGAGAAGCTGGTCGGCTGGTATCACTCAGGCCCGAAGCTGCGCGCCTCAGATCTGGAGATCAACGAGCTCTTCAAACGATACACACCCAACCCCTTGCTAGTAATTGTGGACGTTCAGCCGAAAGAAGTAGGCGTTCCGACCGACGCTTACTTTGCCGTTGACGAAATCAAAGACGTAGGTTCCCAAGCGATCCAGTTCTCGGACCCTATCTCTGCCTTGGTCTCGCTAACTTATTCGGGGTGATTCACTACAGGATGGCACCACGACGTCCAGAACCTTTGTTCACATACCGTCCATAATTGAAGCAGAGGAGGCCGAGGAGATTGGAGTGGAGCACCTACTCCGTGACATCAGGGATGTCGCTGTGGGAACACTTTCTACCCGGATAACATCCCAGCTGCAATCGCTGCAGGGCCTGCATCTGCGTCTGCGTGACATCGGCCAATATTTGCAGAAAGTTCTCGACCAAGAATTGCCCGTCAATCATGCCATCTTGGGCAACCTCCAAGATGTGTTCAATCTTCTCCCTAATTTATCCACCCCTGCTGCAACGCCTCGCATCAGCGGTGGTGCCCCGGAGCAGCAGACTGATAATAGCGAATTGGCACGGGCCATGAGCATCAAGACGAACGATCAATTGATGACGATCTACTTGAGTAGCTTGATTCGCGCCATCACTGCCTTCCACGACCTGATTGAGAATAAGATTCAGAATCGGCAGCAGCAAGAAGAGAACGAGCTGAAGAGGGAGCAGGATGCCAATGCGGCCAAGGACGACAAGGACACGACTAAGAAGACCAATGGCGTCGTCAATGGAGAGCAGAAGGAGGATCAAGAAGTAGTGAAGGATAAGTCCAAGAAAAAGAGTTCAAGAGGGGAATAGAGGGGCCTGGAGTCAACGTGATACGATCAATTTTCAAGGACCAATTCATTTATTACATGAGATTGTACATTAGGGTAACCTTGGACACGGCTGATCATGATCATACGGGGTCGTCTTCGGAGACATCGATCGTGCTGAGTATTCAGTTGTACCGTAGGCTATTTACACCGCACCCTGATCTTGTAGCGAGGCAATCAAAACCCTGGACGTGACCACGCTGGAGCCCCCTCTGACTCGTGGCATAAATACGACACGGCTTCAGCCGCCCCAACCCGCACACCAGCCCGCCAACTCCTCCGCCCTGACACAAACGAAGCCGTCATTTCCCTTACCCAACAGACTGGGACAGCGAACAGCCAGCCAACTCGCAAGGAGGTGCTTGCAAACGGGGGGTGAAGACCGGAACGATCCGCGTGCCAACATACCCCCGAATGGGTAAGAACCATGGGAGATTGCATAATCCCGGCGTGGCGATAACTCGATAGCAGAAGCAGTAGCAACAGTGGATAAAGAGGTCATTCCAGGTGCGGGTGACAATGGCCCACGAAATGAAGCCAAGGTGAAGGTAGGACATGTGCAGCTCCAGGCTTGCAGGCGGACTTCGTACGCTTTTGTCTCGCTATCTGTCTTATAGGGGTGATATCGCGAAGACGGTTGCGGCGTGAGAACCCCGGAGGCTGAGTTCACCAGGAACACATTCTCCGTCGATCTTACCGACGAGGCCTGGGTCGTGGGGCTATTCGTCGCGTCGTGAGTCGATACTAAACGTCTTACCAAACCTCGATCAAGGATATCCAAAGCGAGCAGGAGTTCATTAGGAAAAAGACAGTGGAGAGCTAGCATCAGAGACTTTACACCGGCGATCTGGGTCGCATGCAGCGCAGAGAAACCACGGGGCGGGCTTTCTTCGCAGGCTTGATATTGTTCTTCTTGTTGTTGTTCGTGTTGCTGGCCATCGCTCGAAGTATTGACCTTGGAGATTGAAATGCCAGAAGCCACCTGGTCCACAAAGTCAGCAGGAGTGAAGGAATTGCTTTGGTGTTTGTGATCGTGAATATCCATTGGGTGGGCGGTTTGAAGAAGAAAAATTCGAGGTTGTTGCAACAGACAAGATATGTATTCGGATGAACCGGTATCTATTTATCCCTGGGCAAAGTTTCCCGATTTCTCCTTCCTGCCTGTCTACAACCGATGCACACCCCAATAGACAATTATATACATGGCTATAGACTTCATATGGATATGAGCGCTTTATCCATCTTGGACTCGACGGAGACAATAAAGTCAGAATAGTCCCACCATGGAGCACAAACAACATATCGGTCGTATACTGTACGGCAGCAGATTACCACAATCTAAATACAACCCCAGCAATAGGCATAAGATTTTGCTGCAGACGCTTTGCGGCGGATCATGTGAGAGGTGGAGGGCCTGGGGGAATCTTGGGCTTAGGCAACTTTCTTCTGAGGACACCACGAGGTCTGGCTGTCTTACTTACCGGTTGCGTGGGAATGATATTCGGCTGCAGGGGAATAATCCCTTGGCCTTCGAGGACTTCGCCTGTTGTAGACGTGAGCCTAATTCGCACCTTTGCCCGCTGCACTCTGGCTCTGGCTGACTTCAACTTGATCAAAGCTCCATTATCACCAGGAGGTGCCAGCTGTTGATTGAAAGTCCATCGAACGGCTCTTCCCTCGAACTTGATCATTTCGTCCAATGTGATCTCACCGGGGGATTGTTCAATGGACTGGCCCTCCAATTCACAATCTGGTATAAGTGGCGGTATCGATCGCACTGGCAAAGGTTGTGTCCGGCGATAAGCTAGTACGTATACATCCTTGCGGTTTTTCTCGTAAGAACCTGAGTTCTGCAAGTGTTTTGGCGGATACTATGCCATCGTTGAACCCAGCCCAGCCACCATACGGACCCTGTGCGAAGCAACTATAATGGCCGTAGTCGATGTTTCTACCCAGATGATTGACAAACGCAAAAAGCCGATATTGTATGATCTCAGGTGGAAAGGTCGAGGTCTCTTCGATGCAGACATAGTCTCGATTCTTCTGTTTAGCATGCTGGAACCGGTTTATTTGAACGAAGATAACTTCCGGGTAAAGAACAATGTTTTGACTGATTTCGTGCTGAGCTCTAGAACCACCACGGCCGCGACAAGCCACTTGCAAAGATGTCGGACGCAGGTTGTTCTCTATTGTCTTGAGTAGCCCATGAGAGCCCGGGCAAAGGTCTTCTGGAAAGCTCGCAATAAGCCACCAGTTCATACTCGCTGGTAGAGTCTTCCGCTGACCGCACTGGGAACATTGACCTTCTTGGGCGACAATGCTTTGGAACATGCTCTCAAGATCGCTTCAACGAAGTCAGCTTCCGGCATGTCTGGGGGTTGATGAGAACATACACTCTTGATTTCTCCGTACTATCGGCTACAGCCGCGCAATTAAGGCGTCTAGAAACTCACATATATCATGCTGTTCTCGAATATCCCGCCCTTTCCAAGCAGCTTTTTGGATATGCAGCCAGAGAACCCCAAGACATGATTCAAGATCGCGTGGAGATTCGAGCCAATAGACTTCATATAGACGGCACAATCGACATCCTAAACAACCATCCGAAAAGCCGCAAATCTCGAGGTCGTGACTTGGTTGATAGGAACACCTGAGCCAATTCCATAAATCGGGCATGTGCAACAGAAATATGAGTGCCGCATTCCGGTAGCATAGATTTCCTGGGTTTTCAGCGCCTCTGGGACTTCTATAAGTCTCGCTGGGCCACGCTGATCTGAGTTGGCTTTCCTGAGCGTAGAGTGAGTCCACTTTGAACGGTCAAAGCATTTATTTCATCAACGACGCACCATTTTGTTGGATATATAGCTGAATCACTCATTTCCAGTGCACCGCCTGTCGGCGCTTACTGTGTCACCTACTACAGTAGCCTAAGCACGATCAGATCCTGGGTAATAAGTGCTTAAGTGTGTATAACTTGGGTCCAGGTAATAGTATATTATCTTCGTCGCCGTGCAGATACCGTGCCGGTCCTTGTATATATTAATGAACCTATTGCTGAATTAGTCCTATAAGAGAACAATAGATAGTACATACCTCCCTTACAACTCAGGGTGATCCTTCTTTTGTTTATAGAAGACCTTTGTATATAGACACATGTCATGTTGTTTGGTACATGAATGATAAAGAGGTTACTTGAGGGTGAATAGTGGTTGTTAGACATCTTGCTCTTTGTTAGCATTGCTGCCGAATAGTATGTGGTAGTAGCAAAATCCGTTGGTAGAAGATATTTGTATATATTTCTCTAACATTGGTCTCTTTATGTAGATGTCTTTTACATATAGCTCGGTAGAATAATAGCACTTCAAACTCTTCTATGTCAATCATGGCTATTTACAGTTTGTCCTTGGGATTAGAACAAGTAGTGACTTGTTTTCTATGTCAATTACGTTGAAAATATTCTAGGATTGATTTGATTATATGAAGAGATACTGTATGAGGCCACTACATCAAGTTATCGGAGAAACATGTAGCTGGTCATGACTAGTTCTCGATGCATACAGTGTCCATTCCACAGACCGTCTTAATCAGGATGGAAATATATGTTTTGATGTTTTTTTAACCACCCACCTATCGGTGGTATGTATGTCAGTCGGGCTATCCCTAAACTCTTCAAGTAAGCCTTGCATGACAACACCTCCCTATACGGTGTCTTACCAGTCAAACCTTCAGACACTAGAACCCCACTCCATCTCATCAATGCCAGTTCAGGAGGCAATATCGCTAGTACTGATATATTTCGTCTCTTTGTGCGTAGCATGGAGGTGCTTTATTCCTTTTGCTCATCACTCTTTGTTGACTTTAACATGCTCATACATAGAACAGCTGAAAGGTCTGGCTGATTTGCAGGACAACAAGGCACCTACCCTTTCTTGTTTTCCGCCCAAGGAGTTTGCCCTCGTAGCGTATCCCGGCTGAAAGAGGCATATCTTCACTTTTACAAAGCACGTTGTTGACTTTTCAAGATCCAGCGGGGTTCATAGCCTCCATATAGTAGGTAGGTAAGGCAACCGCTGCACGATGGAGGGGAAGTCAGACTCGACCAAGATTACTAAAGGGTCCCCCCGGTGACGGGGCTCTGTGCCAGTGTGTCTATCTCTTACACAATACCTGAATCTGTCCAAGGTTGAATCAGACATCAGCAGGTGATTACCCTGATACTGTACACGGGATGTTTCAAGAAGGAATACTGTACAGCAGTGACTCTATAGCTAGAGGTGTAGTTAGTGGAGTTACAGTATAAGTGGATCAAGAAATATACTCAGGATAGAACATGAGCTGCCAGGGTGCGGTTAACGTTCCCCCCGCAAGTCATTCGAAGTCACAAACTGTCCACAAATTCATTCCACACACATTTGTGTGCTAAGGTGAGTGAGAATGCCCTCATTTCAAAACTCTCAACAATCACTCACCAGGATCTCGGACGCTGACAGTAAAGGCAGCGGACAGGGTTTAGGAACATCTGAAACAATGATACTAACAGCACCCATGCATTGTGGAATCGATCCAGCTGTTGTTTATAGGCTCTGGCCTCATTTATCATAAACAACAGAAGGGGCGCGAACATGCGACAGACATTCGGACACATCCGCGATTGTCAAGTCTAGGCCACCACCGCCTCAGGGCCATGACTCGCTGGTTCACGAACTGTTGAACAAGTTGACATTTTTTTCCCACTTCATTTACGGTGGTTCCGCTGCTTGGACGCGGGAATGATCGTGTTGCAAGTGTGATCTTAATTTCCCTGCCCTTTACCCCACTCCACACAGCCCGGGTTCTTGTTTCATCTTGTCCGATGTGGATCTGAATTAATTACCACCTGCAAGCCTCTACGCAGCCCGCGCGCATTACCCTCAGCTTCTGCCCGCCGCAATTCACTTGTACGACATGATCGCTTCTTCTCGCAATGGAAAAGGACTCGGAGAA